GCCGAGGCCCACCAGCGCCGGGCCGCGGAGCCCGGCGGGGCCCTGTCGAGTGGCCGGACGTCCTCGTCCTCCTCGGAGCTGCCCCGGACCGAGGCGCGACGCCTGAGGGGCACAGGGCGGGCGGAGTAGGCGAGGCCGCGGCTCCCGGACCAAGAAGCCGCGGAGGCCCCGTGGTCGCCATAGGCCCCAGAGGTCGCGTGGGTCGAGCCTGAGGCCGGCGAGGAGAACCAGGGCTCCGCCCGAAGGGAGGTCGCGGCGGGCCGGACGCGCAGCGGCGCCTCCTCGCGCAGCCGGGCCTCTTCCCGCAGCCGTTCCTGGCCCCGCGGGCGGGCCTCCTCCCGCAGCCGCTCCTCGCCGCGCAGCCGGGCCTCGCCCCGCAAGCTGCGCAGCTTGTTGCGGTACAAGTCCCGGGTGGTATCGGTGATGGGTCCTGGCTGGAAGCCCAGGGCCTGCAGCTCCCGCCGCAGCTCCAGGTCCGACAGGCCGGCCATGGCCAGGACGCCGCCCCCCGCCCGCCCCCGGCGCGCACCGCACCCGGAACTGCTCTCGCCGGCGGCCGCAGCGGAGCGGGCGGGGCCCCGCGCCATGATGGGAAGGTCGCCGCGGACGCCATGTTTAGGAGGTCGGTATCTGCCGGATGGGGCGGCCATGATGAGGAGGTCAGATTCCGGCCGCCCCGGCGCCGCCATATTGGGAAGGTCCGCTGTTGCATATTCGCCTCCCTCACCTTTCATTCTCTAGGTCAGCGCTGTTCGCCATGAAGCCGGTCTTAAACCCCCGCCCACCCACTGCGCTGTCCCCCTAAAGTGTAAGCACTCAATAATTCTGTCGTGGCGGTTTAATGGATGGATTGCTTAATGATGAAAGACAAGCCACGTAGAGAGAGGGGACCCTCTGCCTCTCTGTTTCCGGGCTTATGCTGATCCCTTCGTGCTTAGGGAAGACCTTTGGTTAGGTCAAGGACTAGCCCCCCAGGTATACTGTCGGCCAGGTAGCCTGCGAGTGGTGGTCTGCCAGCCTGTATATTTCCTTGGCAGTCACAGACCAAGTGCATGTGTAGGCCCTGCCTGGGAGGCTGAAGAGTCAAATGCCCTTGGGCTCTCGTGGGCAGTTCAGTGTTCTGGGAGGAGGCCATATGGCCTCATGGTAGGCTTTCATCAGGAGAAATGGGTGGGGGAAGGCCCCAGGGACAGTCTTGTGTCACTTGTGGGTTGTGAAAATCCCAACTCCACCACTCTTAGCTGTGCGCGCACATCCAATTAACATTTCCGGCCTGTTGGCCAGGATTGCTGTGAGGATTAGAAGAAGTAATTTGTTTAAGGTGCTTAGGACAGTGCCTGGCACAGCTCTCTGTGTTTATGCTTAACCCCTATCTCTGCAGCATCAGTGCTGTGTAGGACCTCCCACAGGGCATGCTGCTTGATTACAAGAAGACTCTTAGCAGGGAAACCCCTAAGGGAAGCTTGGGGATAGTGGCAAACACAGAGCTATGGTTCAATCTTCCTTCTGCTCCCACTCCTTCTTTGTATTCTTTCCACATCCTTCATCAAATGACTTTTCCAAACATTTATTGCCAGCACGGTAGGTTCCATTCCATTTCTACCCCTCCAGTTTGGTCTCTTCTACTCCCCTCCTCTACATTCTCAAAGCTGCCACCCACCTGCGCCCCCCAAAACCGCACCCCCCACACACACTTTGTCTCTCTCTCTCACCCCCCCTAGTCCCTGGGTAAGACCTCTGTGTCAGGGGTTTGCATTCCTGCCACTTGCTGTCATAGGGACCTTCAACACTGACCACAGTTGCTGGGAAAATTACAGCCTCGGCCTTTTTAGGCTTCTGCTGTTAGCCTCCCATCTCCCCCGACTTAGCTGCTCCCATGTGGTGCGATTTCTCTCACCAAGTGTTGTTTTCCTTTTCTCTGCCTGTGTTTGCACGGAATGCCATGAATTTGATGTAGTGATTGCCTAACACATATACCACATAATAGTATTTTATTTCTTTCTGAAGCACTGTTTGCATGACAAATGAGTTGGTAACATTTGTGCAACTCCTTGCAGCTGTGCAGTTCAATATATAAAGAACGAGCCTTTCGGCATCAATACTGGCCCTGTGTATTCTAAGAGGGCTTGAAACTGATGCTTAAACAAAGTTAACATTACAGCATTTCAGAGAGTTACGGTCTACTTCATCACAATGGATCTCAGGGTGATTGAAAAATATGTACTGAACTGGAGCCACCCCAGGGGTGGTCCCCAAGAGTGGGCTTTGTCAGCCATCCTTGTGTGTGGAGATGCTGCTGCCGCTGCTGGTGCTGCTGCTGCGTAGGGAGCAAAAGAGCCTTAGCCTTCCCACCCCACCCGGTCCTTGTCTTCCCACTAATTTAGAACCCGACAGCCTCCGCCTTTTGTCCCTGTGGTCCACCCTTCTGCTGCCGTGTGGCTTCTGATAGTCCCGGCCTTGTCTCAGCAGGTCTGACGGCCTCCGGCGTAGCTTGGCACCTCTTACAGACTCTTTGCCCTCAGTGCTTTGCTCTCCACCCCTCTGAGAAGAAATCTCACAATCTGATTGAGAAAATCAATCGTTCCTCCCTGCGCTGGGGCCGTTGTTCTTGTACTCCCTGCTCCCTCCTGCCTTCCCTTGGAGAGAGAGCAGCTCTGAGTCCTCCGTCAGTATTCTCTGCCCCAGCCCTGGTTCCTGGTACTGCTTTGGTGAAGTCAGCCTGTTTCGCTCTTCACTTTCCACGGCAGGACGCTGACTGCTGTGTAACCCCCTGAAGGGCTCAGCCGCAGTGCTGGTTTGCCTCCCTCCCCTGCATCTGGAGCTGCCCCTGATGTCCTTTGAGGTCTTTTCTATGTTTTCCATGTGCTGCTTTGGCTGGGCCTGTAGCGGATGAAGGGCAATATTGCAGTCAGCGGCTGCCATGTGTACCCTCCTTTCTCATCATTTTCTTGTGGGTTTTTTTAAAGGTGAGTTGCTCAGGCTGCAGTCGGTCTTCTGATTTATTAAAGGCAAAGTAGGAAAAACAAGCTGCAATGTCTAAATCTACTTAGTAACCACGCACACATGTTAAGGATGGCCAGGGGCTGCTCTGGGGACACCCCAGGTTCCCGGGGGACTGCCACACTGCCCGCGGGGCCTGCTGACCTCTCTCTGTCTCAGCAGAGCCTTACAGTAATAACAGCTATAAATCTTTTAGTGGGTTCCATTCTCCTTCTTCTCCTGCAAAAAGCCCTGCACACATTAATCAGGTTCTTAAAGATGCTCAGGGACCATGGACTTGTCCTTGAGCCACCTCATGGCCTCCTGGTCTCTCTGCTGTTCTGGGCTGTCTTTGAAGCATGTCATGGGTGGTGTCACACTGGGTGCAGGGGTCGCTGAGAAAGTGGTTGAAAAGGTGGCATGTTGTTTATTGCAGCCCTGTTTACAATAGCCAAGCTATGGAAACAAACCAGATGCCCCCAAACAGAGGACTGGATCAAGAAGATGTGGTATAGATACATAGTGGACTACTACTCAGCCATCAAAAAGACAAATCCATGTCATTTGTGGCAACATGGGTGGAGCTGGAAGGGATTATGCTAAGTGAAATAAGTCAGGAGAAAAAAAAGGAACACTGGATATTTTCACTTACGTGTGCAATACAGAAAAACTGAATAATGTGTCAGAGGAAAAAAAAAAGACAAAACTTGCAACAAGTACATATAAATAAAATGCTGAAGTACCAAAAAAAAAAAAAAAAGAAAGAGAGAGAGAGAAGGTGGACCAAAGTGGGTACCATCTTGGGGTCAGATTTTGAAATAGCCCCAGCACCACCCAACTTGTTACCTCACTCTGGTGCCTCATCTCTGCCCCGTGGAGAAGGAGGGCGGCTATCTTCATCTCTCCAGGCCCGGAAAGGGGCAAACAAGGTCACAGAGACAAATCAAGATGGGTTTCCTGGGGCAGTGATGTCACCTGCTTTTGACAATCTGCCTTAAATGGAACAAAACTTATACTCGTTTGGCCACTCTCACACTTTGGTATCTGCGGGTAAACGTTCCTTTCGAGCACAGACTACATTCCCCAATGTCAATAATGAATTGTGTATGAAGAAAAATGTAATGCTTTCAGAACATTTTCTTTTGGGCTTTGTCCATGATTAGATTATACTAAATTACAGAGTACAGATATCAGGCAATTACTCTTTGCTTTTAACTATTCAATTTCATGGCAAATCCATGTAGTTCAGTAATTATAAAATCACACCGATGTGGCTACGGAGAAAATACCTCATCATCTCCATCTTGTGGAGCTCGGCACAGGTCACCCTATAATTACCCATGGTCCTGTTAAGTGTAAAGTACATTCCAGATGAAGACCGGCAATCTGTAACTCTGTAATTGTCAGGTATCTGAAGAGATTCTTGCAGATTTTGCTGGATAATCCTCCTCGGGGTGTGAGGAGGCCTGGCATCCTGAGGATGGCTTCCTCTGGGCATTCTCCCCATCACTGAACCTGGCTGGGTCCTGGTCCAGGCTTCTGTTGCTTTAACCAACCATGTGTCTTTACCTGGTTTTGTGAAAACATGGTCATTTTCTCTTGGCTCAGCTCACAGAATCCTGCCCAACCTCCCCCAATTTTAATTTCTTCCAGGGCTGTGCATGTCCTGTAAGCAATCGAGTTCACTGTCCTGGAAACTGGAGGAGCTCATTGGAGAAAAAGAATTATTTGAGCTGATTGTGTGAGAAATCGAATAGTGGCAGGAGGAGGAAAAACAAGAAGAAAGGAGGCGACACATCCAACCAGGCAGCGGGGGCGCGTGCATGCGGTGCGAGAGGGGGCCGGCACACGCCGCAGCCCACCGGTGAGGGGCGCCGACAGCCCCGCTGCAGCGGTGAGCTTGGCATGGGGCTCTTCCTCAGGACAGACAGCACCCAGGCGCGGGAGCTTCTCAGGTGCTGTTTGCTGAACCAATGCCCATTAAAAAAAAAAAAAAAAAAAAATTTCTGGGCCCTCCCTGGTGGCGCAGCGAGTTAAAGCAGCACTGAGAATCTAAAGCTGCTTCCGCATGAGTTCGATCCCCGCCTGCCCCGGAGGTGACCACATGGTGCGGCAGACCTCTCCTGACCCACCCACTGCTCCCCTCAGCAGTGTACTTCGTCAGTCAGCCTGTTCTGCTCCCCACTCTGTCTCTGGTGAAGCCTTGCACCCACCAACCTCTGGCTTGTACCCCAGTTCTGTGTGCACAAATAAATAAATGTTTAAGAAAAAAATGCCGACCACCTGGGACAAAATCTCTCAGGGGTCTCTTTTCCCTGCCTGCCTGTTTCTGTACTGCTATTCAACCCCTCGTGGATCATAAGGAAACTTCCCAAGAGGATGCTAGGGACCTCCTGCCTCAGAAATGCCGGTGTTGGGGAAGGTGGTCTTAGAAAGAGGCAGCTCAGAGCTGAGAGTGAGGAAAAGACAAAATCTGCTTTCCACTTGGAAAGAAGCAGTGAGCATTTTGTTTTTCTGCTTCTCGGAGTGTATTACAGATAATGAAGTGACCTGGCATGGTGGAACTCCAAAGGGCCGGGAGGAGTCTTGGATCCTGTTCCTCCCAGTCTCATGCTTTATAGATCCCTGTGTCTTTCTTCTCTCTCTCCTCCTGTGCCCTGCTGCAGCCCTTTCTCTCCATTCATTATCTGGTGTCTTGGCCAAATTTCCCTACGCCTCCAGGTGCACTCGGGCTGCTCAGTATGCATTGGAGATTGTGCCATGTGTGGGGCGCCATGGAAGGCTTGGATCTTCCATGCCCACCACCAAGGGTCTTTTTTTTTTTTAACAAGTTGTACTACATCATACTTTTTTTTTTCCTTTAAGATTATTTATACAGAACTGGGGTACAAGCCAGAGGTGCAGGGGCAGTGAGAAGATTCACCAGAGACAGGGGAGCAGAATGGGTAGACGGACAAAGTACACTGCTGAGGGGAGCTGGCGGTGGGTCAGGAGAGGTCTGGCATGCCATGTGGGTCACCTCTGGGGCCGGGGATTGAACTCACACTGAGGAGGCTGCAGCCAGCTTGCAGTGCTGCGTCCTAACCCATTGCGCCACCAGGGACGGCCCGGGGCTGGGGTCTTCTTTTTCCAGTAGTTACTCTCTGGGACTAAGCTCATGCAGTGGTTGGGGCACTGTGTCTAATTGCTGGTAACCTATGGATGGAGGGAGCTGCGGGTCCTCTATGGCCCCAGTTTATAAATAAATGAACATTCATTAATGTAAAATTAAATTAGAATGAAATTTCCCATCTAGTTTTGTTGAGAAGGCAGAAATAAGCGGGTTGGCTGTGTAATTTCGCTGCGGATGCGGGAGCATCTAGTCACAAGGTGGCAATAATAATAGTAATTTACTCTTTGCTGGCGCCTGGGTCCCCAGATCTCCAGGCGGATATCACCTCTTTGCTTTTGCAAAGCCTCATTGAGGTTAAAGGGCCAGCTGGAAGTTAACTCAGCAAGGGGTTGAGTGCAGAGGCCTTAAAACTCTCTGGCCCATTAGACCTTGAGTTCATCAGTAAACAGAAAATGGACCAGGATTCAGAGACCTGAATTCCAGTCTGCCCTGCCTCAGTTGTGGGCGAGAAACAGCAGCCAGCTATCTGCGCCTCAGTTTCCTGTAGCAGAAGAACTGATGCAGCTCGTCCAACTCCATAGCTCTAAGTTCATATTTGAAATTAGAACTTAGAAAAGGCACACCTTTGTTTAACGTATGCACCATTTATGACCAATTCCCTCTGAACTTAGATTTCCCCTCCTTGATGGTATGGCCTGAATGTGGCATTTGGAAATTAAAATATTAAATAAAAATTAAAATATTAAATAAAAGAGTCATTTCTGTATGTCTCATGCTTTATTTGCTGGGGGCAAAGGGCTTTGGGAAGGAGAAGGCTTTGCTGGGGAAGGGTTTTTGCTGGGGAGAGGGTGTTTTCCTTCTGGGTCCAGCTGGTAGGCCATGCAGGTTTCCAGGAAACTCTTCTTGGAGGGGAGGGGGCCCCCAGATTTGTCCACCTCTTCTCTGAAGTGGTATCACTTGGCTGCAGGGAGAAAGCGAAGTTTGCAGGTCAGTGGTATCCGCTGGTGGGCTTGAGAAAGGAGGGGCACCCAGCAGGGGTGGGTTTCTTTGCAGTTCTGGCCACCTCTAGCTTTCTCTATAGCCTGGGGCAAGTTCCTTAACCTCTACTTCCTCGGCCTCCTCCTCTCCACTACCTGCGCCCCTCCTGGGGACAGTGAGAAGTAATGAGTGGCTGTTTGTCAGAGGAGACCTAGATTTGCCCAGGTAACCTTGAACTAGAAAAGGCCTAAAGGGGCTCAGGATTTCTGTCTGCAGAACAGGTGAGCAAACACAGGCTTTTGTGGCTACGCTGCACGGGGGTTTGCACTGGGGTTTGCTTCGGAGCGTCCACCCAGCTGCAGTGGCGTTTGGGGGAGGTGGTGAACTTCTCTGGAGACTTGCAGGCTTGGGGTGGGTTGTTTGTTGTGTCCCTCTGCCCAGAGGTGTTTGAGAAATGGGCCTGAGCCATCAAGGCAGGGCCTGCAGATGCCCTTGACTGGAGAATTGGCCTCCCTGGCCACCAGCAGCTGTCAGAACCCGTCCCTCCTCTGTGATTAGCTTCCCCCCTTGGAGACAGCTGCACTTGCCGGAGAAGTCAGTTTCATGGTTTCAAGTGCAAAGCAGAATAACAAAGCACAGTCCCCAAACCTGGCGCAGACCTGCTCCTGGAATATTTACATGAGAGGGGGCGAGGCCAGACCCCAGCTGTGGCCCCAGGAGCCCTCCCCTCCCCATACCCTTCTGGGTAGACAGCAGCTCCTGGCTCAGCAGCCCTTCCAGCGTGGCCCGGTACTTTTCCAGCTGCCTGGAGTTCATCCTTATTCCAATTTCCACAGGAGCAGTCAGCTGTGAAATAAGGCAGAGTTAACAAGAAGAGAGAGGCACAGAGAGGGTCCTTAGCCCCAGGGCCCTACAGGTGGTAGGAGGGACCACCCCGCCGGCCGCACTGGCCCCCCCATGCCTCCCGCCTCCACCCCCTGGGATCCTCTGGGGTTTCAAGGGCCCACAGGGAATTCTGGCACCCTCCTCCCCAATCCTAAGCAGGATCCTAGATGTCACTGCTATCTGCTGGGTGAGGGATGAACAAACAGGGTGGGCTTGGCAAGAAGCCTTCAGCTTTTTATATGGGGAGGGAACACCCCATCCCCTTCTGAATAAGAGTAGCTAGCAATGTGCAGCTTTCTGGTGCCGGCATGACTCTGAAGCATATGTTAAGTCTTGCATAACCCTACATACAATGTAGTCATTATTAGTGTCCTCATTTTGCAGGTGAGGACAAAGAGGTTGAGTAACTTGCTCAAGACCAGACAGGTAAGTAACTCAGGGAGAAGACACTCCACCTGGGGGACCTGGCTGTAGCTGCACTTTCTCTAGCACTCTGGGGACACTTGTGACACCTGGAGAAGCGCTCCAGAGACTCTGCACCAGTAGAGGTTGGGCAGGTGAGTCAGCTGCAATGAACAGTCTTGCCATCGCCCCCCACAGCTTCTCCCAACTTGGGGTTTTGCTGGACAAGCCAACAGACAGATTTGGAGATTCCCTGTGTCCTGGAGCCTGGGTTCCAGCCTGTGAATGCCGGTCTCTTGCTGTGGTCATGCCTGTCCACCTTGAAGTCAGGAGTCTGGCCTGACGATCCAGAAAGGCCTGGGCATCATGGTTCTAGTGAGATGGGAGGTCCCAGAGGTATTTCACTCCAAGCCTCCTGACGTGGGTATAGCATGGAAACTGGAGCCAGTGCCTTAAACTCTGCCTCAGGTGCATTTAGAGGACAGTTCTGAGCAAACATTCCGTGTGCCAACTGTAGGACTCGGGAACCAAAGAGTGTGGGGAAAGGAAAGGACACCCCTTAACCCCCCAACCAGCTCCAGCACAGTGTTGCAATAGTCTCAGGGTCACTCTCTGGGCCACAAAATGGACCCTCCAAGTTGCAGCAACCCAACAGGGCAGAAAGACCACTGGCCTGGCGGAGCTCTGCCCTGACAGAGTGACCTGACTGTGTGACCTTGGCAAGGCCCTCGCTCTCTCTAGATGTCTGGCTCCTTCCCTCCCAGCTTCCTTTGCAGGGAAGCTCCCCACACTCAGTCCTGGGGTCTCTTCCTCCATCCACCCCCATCCCCTCAGAGATCTTACCCCACCCTGGCTTGAACAGCTCACCTCATTGATGACTCCTACACTATGTCTCCAGCCCTAACTTCTCTTGAAATCCAGACTCGTACTTAGCTGCCTGTGCCACGTGATCTGGCTTCACCTCCAGCTTTTCCCTGGGCCCCCTCTGCTCTAGTCACTCTGGTCTCTTCCCTGTCCTGAGTGCACCAGGCTGACTCCTGCCTCAGGACCTTTGCACAGGCTATTTTTTTCTGCCTGGAATGGTTTCCCCTGCGGACAGCTTATGGTTCACTCCCTCCTGTTCAGGTCTTGGCATTAATATATTCCCTTTACTAATGGTCTGCTCTGATCTCCCTATTGAAAATTGTAAACAATCCCACGTCCTTATCCATCTTATCTCCCTTATAACACCGGTCACACAGTAAAGTTTATGTATTTGTCCTGTTTGTGGGCTATTTCTGGTCCCCCACTGGAGTGTGGGCTCTCTGAGGGCAGAGGGTTTGCCCCTGTCATTTGCTACTCTTCCCCCAGGGCCTGGAAAGTGCCTCGCGCAGGTGGGGACCCAGTGAGTACCCATCCACTGAATAAACGAGACTGTGAAGGTAAAGGGCTCTACCGGACAGACTCAGGCTCCCTCCAGCCCCTGCACCACACATCCAAACTTGGTGCTGAGGGTCCGAGGCCCTGGGCCTAAGTGCTGCAGCTGTCTCCTGGGTTCCAGTCCAGGGGAGGACCTGGCACTCTCTCATCTCCTTCCTGAGGACTGCTGCTTGCTGACTGGTCTTCAGCCTCTGTGCCTGCTGCCACAATTGGCTTGAAAAGTGACTTGAAGCACCCCGCCCCACCCTCCCCCGACAGCTTGCCTGGCCTGCTGGGCCCTGTCAACCTCTTGCCTTCTTTCTGTATGTCTTGCTTTGAGGCCTGCAAACCCACTGGGCACTGAGGTACAGCCTTTACGCTCCATGTTTGTCCTGGCATGTCCTTGCGCTGGCTGTTTGCCTAGAGGCTCTTTCTCATGATTCAGAATGCCACATGACAGTCAATCAAGTGTCACTTTCCCCCAAGAGAGCTTCCTTGGCCTTTCCCATGTCAAAGTGCCCACAAACCCACCCTATCACTCTATATTGTACTCCTTATCGGATACCCAAAATGTCTATTGTCTCATTGTTGGTGTCTGTCTCTCCTGACGAGGGTTGAGCTCGTGACCTGGATGTCTGGTTCACTATTGTATCCTAGAAGGTTCTGCTCTGGCCAGGGGATCCATCTCCCTTCTAGGTTTCTCTGCATTGTTCCCATCTGCTCACCTTGATAACTTGGTTTTCTTCTTCCTCTGTGGACTCCTCAGAGAACAGGGGACCCTCCTCCTCAGACCGCTGCTGTAAATTCAGGGATTTCTTTCCTCCTTTGTTGTGTTCTTTTTCCTGGGGCAGAGCATGAAATTGGAGTCCACCCTCCCTCAACAACATCCAGGGCCCCTCGTCCCTGTCCATGGTGCTAACTAGCCTGGGCTTCTCACAGACCCCACGCACCTCTTCTCCCAAGGTGCTTGTTGCTTGAGGCACTTCAGAAACCCAATGGCTTAAGAGCAGCTCTTGAGCTGCCCCACAACAGGTAACCTTGGCTAGGAATCCCTCCCCTCTGTAGTTCAAGCAGCAACCTAGATTCTTACTGTTAATTAAGCTAAAATGCTGAGAAGAATGGCTGCCCTTCATACATATTAAGTGTGAAAATGTATCTTTCTTAGCAAAGAGCCTATAAAAAAGGTGGCAAGACAGCCTAGCCTGAGAGGGCGCCATGGGGTGGCCCAGAAACTCGGAGTCCCTGGGAGGTGATTTATAAGAACAAGACAAGTAGATGAATTACGGAAGAACGACTTTGCAGCTTCTTCATAAAAACCCTGGTGCCTGGCAATTATGAGGAGAAAAACCACAGAGCAGATTAATTTTAAGTGTCCTCTCGTTGCCATTTTGCTAGTTTGTAAGTTCTACTGGGTCTGGCTGTTCCTGTCCAGCCCCACGCCCTGCCTGGCATCCCGCTTGCCAGCTGTCCGAGGGCTGAGGCCAGCCGCACCCTGTGTCTTCAGTTCCTGTGTGACACTCCTGGGGTTACCTGTGGACCTGCTCCAACACCTGGCTCTTCTAGAACAGTGGGTTGTCTTTTTGGAGTGGGAGCTGGAAGGTGTATTTGGGGGCCCTCTGCACCTCCTTCCATGCCTGTCCCTGAAGAAAGGGCGGTGGTCCAACCTTGCCTTTGCAAGGACGCTGTTCTCTGTGGGGAGGGGGTGGGCTGGAAGCATGCCCTGGATAGTGTAGAAACAAGGCAGCAGCCACAACTACCGCGACCCCTGATTCAGGCATTTGTCCCTCCTGGAGCCTCAGTCTCAGACAGGTGGGGCATCAAAGTCCTGTTTCTTCATCTCCTCGGGTTGGTCAAACAGAAACAAATGTTGGCCAGACACTCAGAACCCCTTGGCCTCTCAAGCGAGAGGCACAGGAGGCCGGCCCAGCACCCCACTTTCCTTAGGCCCTGCTGCCTGAGTTCATAAACCTGCCTGACTTTCTTCTCTGAGGAGAAGGCAGAGTTGGCCACCACATGGGAAGCCCCCTTCTTTGCCTTTCTGGACGTTTGCTCTCTCTCCGGTTCTTCCCTTCTTCTCCCTCAAGACCCCAAACTCAGGTTTTACTTTCCCCTCCAGGCTTCCGAGCACGCTCCAGCCCACAGTGATTTCTCCCTCCCCTGAACTTGAGTACTTCCCATCAGCATCACTTACTGGGCTATTAATCATGTCCCGCCTTGTGACATCTCTCTTTGTCTTCTATTGTTAGTTAATTTTTCATATGTTTGTGTCTTGGCCCCCGGGCGCCTTGAAGATGGGCGGATCTGAGATCTCCTTGTGTGTCTGGACTTACACGCAGGGATGCTCAGCAAATATTTATTGACTTGTTAATTGAAAATTTCCTCTCAAGTTTGGGCAGGGGTGAGAAAAGCTGTTGCTCGTGGGAGCCACGGACACCTTTGAGTGACCCTCGAAGAGTCAAGGTGGCCAGGGAGATGGCTGGAGTTGGGGGGTGGGTATCCTGGGTCCAGGGTCTTCATGCTCTTGCTGGTGTCATTAGCGTCCAGGATTAAGTACAGACTGACTGAAAGGGCCCTTGTGACTTTGAGAGACCCATGCCACATGGTGCTGAGCAGGGCTGAGTCACCTTGGCAGTATGGCGGAGGAGGGGGAGGATCTCTTACCTGCATCTTCTGGAGTTCGCTGTAAGTGAAGATGGGAAAGAAGGCCTCTGTCTGTGAGGCCAGCATGGCGGCCGCGTGCACCAGCAGCAGGGCAGCCACGGCCTTGCGGGACACCATCTTGGACCTGGGCAGTGACAAGCAGCTCCTGTCACCAAGCACAATGGTGGGCTGTTGTCCTGTCAACAGATCCACCAGACCGGTTGCTCAGCTCTGGTCTGCGCCTGCCTGATGCTGTGTCATCTTGAGCAAGCTGCTTAGCCTCTCTGGACTTGGTCCTGGTGTGGGGCTTCACCAGAGGAGCTCGGAGGCCCTTCTGCTCCAGAAGTGTGGGAGCTGAACCTGGTGCTGGGCAGAGGCTCCCACACCCCTCCTGTACGTTTGGGAAGAGCCGTTCTATTTGTCAGCCCTTTGCTTTATTTTTGATGCCATCTTTTGGGGTCGGCTGTGCTCATGAGGTGGTGGAGACCTTGTGTCTCACAGAAAAAAATAGCTGCTATATTATCTATAGTTACACGCCAAGATCCAGGAAGACTTCTCTGCTTCTTGAGCTAATTAGGATGGTGAGTGGGATGGACGCAGCCCTGATGCTGTTGATGCGACCTCAGAATACAAGGTCAAGACCCTGGGTGTAGAGCAGAGAGGGTGGAGGACCCCTGCTCTTGTGGAGCTAGAACCAGATGAACAACTTCATGTGGAGCAGCATCTAAGAACCGAGGGGGTTCCTCTCTCTGGGTTCCAGCACTGTGGCTAACTCTGCAGGACCTCAAGTGCACCTGTCCGCCCTGGCCGATGTTGTGCATGGGTGAGCACCCTCTCCAGTAAGGCCCACAAACAGGCCAGCAGAGCACAGTGCACTCTGTCCTGCAAACAGCTGCAGCCCACTACTTTGCTTCAAGCAGAAGCTACAAGAAGCCCCAGGCCCCGTACAAACATGCACCCCACCCTTTGCGTCGGGCACATTTCTTGAGCACATTTCCTGTTTTTCCCTGCACCTACAGACCCTATATATTCCCATGGGCGGTCCTAATAGACAGACTTCGGACTTCAGACCCAGGGCTCCTGCTTCAGTTTCTTTCTCGCATCTCTGAGTCTCCTACATTAGGGCGACAGGCGAACGTAGCGGTCAGCACACCCCTCGTTGGGTTTGCAACACAGCACTATTTCTGGAACAAACCCACCACATCTCGTGTGCTCCCAGGAGCAGGTGCTGTCCGGGGTGGGGTGGCTGGCTGGAGGTGTGTGGACTCATGCACAGGCACTGGTTGCTGGGATCTGGGAGCCTGGCCTTGTGAAGCCTGGCGCTTTTCCCAACACCCCACTCCATGTTGCTCCACAGAAGGCGCAGAAGGGCCTCCCAGGGGCCAGGCCTACTGAATGTATCTTGGGCACCAACGTTCCTGTGCTGGGTGAGCTGCTGAGTGTAGTGACCAGCCCGCAACCTCTGTGATGCTGGGGTGTGGCTGATTAAGGGGTTCCAGGTGAAGAGCTTCCAGGCGTCAACTCAGGGCTTCCACAATGCTCCAGCTGCCTGGATTCTATTGGCAAGAGAGGGTCCTGCCCGGGTTGACCTCTGCAGGTCTGACCTTGACTCCCTCTGGAGAGACTCTCCCAAGATGGTAATGGGCTTGCATTCTGACTGTCCTCCAGGACCTGTTTCACAGTCTGAAGCCGCCTCAACTAAGCAGGACACTCCCTCTGACTCCTCGCTTTCCTGCAGCCACCACCCTGCTTTCTCTATCTGGCTCCAACTCCATGAGCGAGAACATAAAGGCTCAGACAACCCAAGCCTTCTTTTCCACCTGCATACAAATTCCCACAAGGGTGGGAAGCGCCCACCTTTCAGTGGGTCCGTCTTCGCCCACTGAAGACCCTTCTTGGAGGGCGAGGTCCTGTGTAGAGCTCCAGGGTGGCATGGGGGTGGGAGTGGGGAAGCTGGACTCTCCTTCCCTCCCCTCTGTTCACGCCCTTTCCCCAGCGTCTCTGGGCCCTGGCTTTCCTTCCCAGTGCAGATGGATGTGTCACATTTCCAGTGTCCCATTTCCTTCACAGAGATGCTATAGATCCCTTTTCATTCTGGTGTTCACATTTAATTCACTCCATAAGAATCAATAAAAACTTTAAATAAAAAAAGGCAAAATCCAATTGCTGCTCATTTTCTTGATCCAACTGGCAGCTGGCATGTCACCTACATTCATTTGTGTTCCAGGGAGCTCGGAGTGGGAGAGAGCTTCTCATTTATGATGAGGCACTGACTTCCCGGTGCCATCATCGGGGATGGGGCTCCAGCCTTCAAGTGCCCAGCTCTGGGTGAGGGGCACCTGTCTCCTCCCCGCTGCCTGGCAGCCCAGCTAGCCCAGCCTAACTGTGCGGTCTCCCGAGAGAGCAGCTTGGCTTTCGCGAGCAAAGCCTCCAGGCCAGGTGGCGTCCTGTGTCCTCACCAAGCCCTGGCTTGAGTTCCTGGCCTGCAGTGGGGGGTACCACCCACTCCCAAAAGCCTCTCTTTTGCCAAGATTTGCACCCACCCCCACTGCCCTCCAGCCTCCCTACCTCAGCCCTGCTTTTGCTCACTGTGTGAGACTTTAACCCAGGAAATCAGCTTAGGTCTGTGGGTCAGAGCCCAGCTAGGTATTTCAAGGCGCGAGGGACACAGGAGCACCAGCTCACCCAAGGGCACTCCGCACCTGGAGCTCAGGCTGACAGCCCTCCCTGACCATAATAAGGCTACTCACCGGTGGGTGACTGAGTGGCCGGTGGAGTCTCTGCTTGTCCTTCAGTGTCAGCTGGTCTGACGGGCCCTTATATACCTCTCCTCCTTCCTGGGAGCCCATTAACCTTTGGCCCCAGCTCTGGGGGGCTCTGGGTGGGGATCTGGGATTCTTGGAGCTCGTGGAAACCATGGGCAGGACATGCCATGCAGTGGGCATCTGGGCTTTTCTGGAACGCCTCTTTCTCCAGTCACAGGGCTTCAGGGAGGCCAGGCCCCACCCCGAGGGCACTCTCCTGCCCTCTCAGAATTCTGTTGCTGCTCCGAGGATCCTTTGAATGAAAAGCTTTTCTTTTTTGTTACTTAAGTATGTGATATTGTTGAGAGTCTCCAGGCCAACTCTTTAGTGATTGGATTCTCTGTCGGCCTGTCAGAGCGCTGTATTAGAGAGATCACTTGTCTTCTTCAGTCTTCCCCCTGCAGCCCCTCACAAAAAGAAGGGACTCTGGAGTGTGTGATAGTCCTTCAGTCAATTAACAAAAAGGAAATGACAGCCTAGACTCGGGACTGTAGCGCCTCAGAGGCTTGTGAAGCCACGGAGATGGGCAAGGTGTTTGCTGCTGGCTTATGGGTTTGTTGCCTGTAGGGGGACACCTACCCAGGACATCCTTCCTGGCAATTGTGTGAGTCAACTTAGAAAGAGGAGAGTGTAGTCTGGGGTCAGGACCTGGTGGCGGATGCAGTTTCTTGAACACGGAGTCCTGCAGGCCTCACTCCAGGGCTGCTGGACACATACGTTCTCATTGAACTTCCACGGCCTCATGAGAATGTCGGAGGAGCAGTTCAGTAGTTCCTCTGTGACACCACTGTGAGAACTCTTCCTCCCGGCTCTGATGGGTGGCAGACATGAGCAGGAGCAGGAGAGGGCCTCCGGGATGAGGGCACACAGGTGCAGAGGATGGCACAGGACAGCGTCCCCCTGGAAAGGCCTGTGTGGGTTGAGAGAGGATGGGTCTGGGGCCCAAGTGTGGGGGCCCTTAGAAAATACTTCCATTTGGCCCTCCCTGGTGGCACAGTGGGCTGAAGCGCAGCGCTATGAAGCTATCTGCAGCCACTGCAGCATGAGTTCAAACCCCAGCCAGGGAGCTGACCCACATGGTGCAGCAGACCTCTCACCCACTGCTCCCCTCAGCAGTGTACTTTAGTAGATCTTTCTGCTCTGCTCCCCACTCTGTCCCTGGCGAATCCTCTCACCGCCCCTGCACCTCTGGCCTGCACCCCAGTTCTGTATGCATAAATAAATAAATCTTTAAAAAATACTTCAATTTAATGGGAGAGCAAATTGGCGGCCCTCGTGGTACTTTGACAAGTGTAATGTGATGGCAGCATTGGGCTGGAAGATCACTAAGAGATCGGAGAAGGGAGTGATGAGACCGAAGTCCCATGAAGAGAAAGTTGGGGCAGGCTGGTGTGAGGTCTTGAGATCAGGTTGGGCAGAAGTCATTTCCCTGGCTACTGGCCCTCTCAGAGAGGTTGCCACCCTCTGTTCTGTCAGCCTGTTGGTCCGCTCTGGCTTTGCCCTCCCCCCCCTTTTTTTAAAGATTTATTTATTCATGTATGCAAAACTGGGGTGCAGGGGTGGTGAGAGGATTCACCAGAGACAGAGCGGGGAGCAGAACAGGCCGAATGAACAAGTACACTGCTGAGGGGAGCAGTGGGCAGGTCAGGAGAGGTCTGCCACGCCATGTGGTCACCTCCGGGGCAGGCGGGAATCGAATTCATGCGGAAGTGGCTTTAGCTTCTTAGTGCTGTGCTTTAACCTGCTGTGCCACCAGGGAGGGCCAGGCCTTGCCCTTAAAACACACACACACACACACACAAATATTTTCCATGTCTTAACCTTGACCTGATTGGAGTCTCTGGCCCCTATTTCAAAAGGGTATTTTAAGATGAAATACAGACCTTGGTGGAGGCAAAGCAGCATGAGAGTCAGAAAAGAGCTTGCTGTCGTCCTTGCTTAGGGAGGCTTGGGGACACCCCAGGGAGACCCTTCCTGTACTTGGGATCTTCGACGGCAGCAGGTACCAGCATCTTCACCTCCAGTACCTAGACCGAAGTGAGCCAAGGAGGGACCAAATCTAGCATGCCACTTATTTTATTTATTTATTTTTTTACATTATCCGGGACCAAATCTAGCATGCCACTTATTTTATTTATTTATTTTTTTACATTATCCGGGACCAAATCTAGCATGCCACTTATTTTATTTATTTATTTTTTTACATTATCCGTGAGCTAAGAGTAGCTTTTTACATTTTTAATAATTATAATAATTTCATAATTATTTTAATAATAAAAAATCAGAAGAAATGAGTACTTAGTGACCCACAATTCAGATTCCCGTATCTATAAA